AATTTATATTCGATTCGTTCTCATTTCATATATGTATATATATATATTAAAATGAATCATTCATACTAAATTTTGTATGAATGATTCATTGTAATATAAACTGAACTGCTCCACATATTTGATATATATATATATATATATATATATATATATATATATATATATATATATATATATAGTTTTGGATAGATGTGAGTTTGTGACCCTAGGTTACGCTTTTACTTGATTGTCAAACTGATTAATTTTTTAAAAATTTTGGGTTTATCTACATAAACCCCAGATTTTTTTTAAATTTAAAAAAAAAATTTTAAAAAAATTAATCAGTTTGTCTGACGATCGCAAAAGCTTGAAACCCAGGGTCACAAACTCACATCTATCCAACCAAATATGTTAACTCTATCTCTGATATTGAGCGCTTTCTAATAAGTACCATATATAATATATAAATAATTATACATATATATATTTATTTATTTATATACACACACACACACACACACACACACACACACACACACACACACACACACACACACACACACACATATATATATATATATATATATATATATATATATATATATATTACCTTTCCTCACGAATATAGCATTCCTTAACACTATATTTCTATTATATATAGAATGATATTGAAGAAAACATTACAAAGGCAGAAGGATGTGCAATTATGTTTTATAGATTACGCAAAAGCATTCGAGGATTTACAGCACAAGGAACTACTTGAACTGCTAGAAAACCTCGATCTATTTGGAAAATATGTTAGAATAATCTAGAAATTATAAGAGAAGCGAAACGTCTGCTTCGGATAAATGAATGAATTGAGTCGTTACACAAAATGAGAAACGGTCCCCACAAGACAAGCGTATGTGATTCGCTCCCTGCGATCTTCCTAATGATATGTGCACCTGGACTGGCTCCTGTTCTCTCTAAACGTTACAACAAATGCCTCGCTGCTTCCTGCTTTCCAACTTATTGGAAGATCTTTTTCTATAGCGCCTATTTTTAAGAACACTAGGGAACTCTCTGAACTCTCGAATTATCGCTCTATTAGACTCTTAATTCTTTTCTAGAAAGTACTTGAGGTTCTAATCAATGCCGAATGAGTTAAGCATTTTACTTCGCCCAATCTCCTTGCGGTCAAACAATATAGCTTCAGTTTCGTCAAGTCTACCGTCGTCAAGTCTACCGTCGATGTATTAATGGCCATCACTGAATTTGTCTATCAGATTAAGATAAGCAAGACGCAACTCGGGCTGTGGCTTTAGATATCGCGAAAGCATACGACAGGGTTTGGCAAGCTGGCCTTCTGCTTAAACTTGAGAGCTACGTTGTCACGGGACGGATATTTGGCTTCATCCAACCGTTCCTAACAAATCATGCAATGAAGGTCGTGTTAAACAGACATGCTTACATTTCATACCAACACGGAGCTCCCTCAAGGTTTTATCCTTGGACCTACGCTGTTTGGGATCTTCATCAATGATCTGCCCGATATACTTCGTTGTATTTATATAAATGCCACAAACATATACTTCTGTCTTAGCAGCAAGAAACAAAGCCTGGATCTAGAAAAGTATCTCCAAATCGGGGTTAAATGGAACAAGAAAAGTCTCGTAAATTTGAAAGCCTCCAAAACAAAACTGCTCTCATTTAATCAGCACAGAGAACCTTTTCTCTCTACCATCAGCTCTAGGAGAGCGCTATATATTTGTAATTATTTACAAAATGTGGCACAAGGCCAAATGGGGAATTGGGAAAGAGGCGGGTCTTCATCTGTCTTAACTTTAAACTTAGCTAGCAACAAACACTGACCCAAACATACCACAATAATCCTAACACCAAAACAATACATTCTTACTGACCTTTCTTACTACATTCACCATAATACCTCATTGTCTCTATGAAAGTCCTAACTAATCCACATATGTACAATTCATTGTCTGTGTATAGCGGGTGATAAAACAACAATTTAAAAGCTAGCACCAATGTATATTTACAATATGAAAATAGAAATATTTACAAGAAACTAAGTAAAATAATGTTATTAACACCCCCAACCACAATCCTTAAATGTGTCAAAAACAGTTCAGTGGACAAAATCAATGCGGGACTATAATAATATAAGTCATCCATTTATCCCATGCACTCACTCAAACACTCATTCAAACATGAAAAACACACCCGAAACGAAAGGCGCTCCGCATTCACCAGAGAACTGACATCACTGACCACCTAACAAAGGAGGTAATGGGGAATTAAACTAAGAAAAATAGGGACAGAAATAAAAGGGACCAATGAGCATGCATCCCCTATCTAAGTTAACTGGAATGAAGAATCTAAACTCTCTCTGTACCGAACAATAAAGGTGATAAAAAGTCGTAAATCAACTGGATGTTTTGTGCAAATTAATTGAAACAAAACGAATAAACCCGTTATTTTTTTCGTATTTTTCCAATGAAATATGACCCAGTGCACATGTTAGTACTTTGTATGTCCATTCCACAAAGTCGTTCCTTGCAGATTGACCACAGATTCTCGATTGGATTTAAATCAATAGAGTTTCCAGGCCAGCTTATAGTACTTTGATTTGCTCATTGGTAAGGCTTGCCAGTGTGTTCGTGCAGCGTTATAATTTTCGTACGCTCTTGGAGTAACGTCCATCGTAGACAGGGGCTGTATGACAACTAATCGATAGTCGAGACAATAGCGTTGGGGCGTAATGAAAATCTGATGCAATCACTGATGACGCAATAATTTTCAAGGCCAAACAAATTTTATCATACACCCCGAAAATAGCTTCATATCACTGCACCACACTGCAAATGACCTAATCTGAGGAAAACATAGAAATCGATTACACTCTGTCACACCAGTGGGTCTAAAACTGACTGTATGGTGAAAGAAAGGAAACTAAAGTGGTTGTTTCAATTAATTTTCACAAGGGCGCAGGACAAGTAAAGGTTTATTTACTTTTCAATTTATGTATTTGTTTTGATTCATTTTGGAGACAGAACGTTTTCCCCCGAAAAAATCTTCATACAACATACAATACCGACCGGTTTGATTTATTTTTTATTTTAGAGCTAGTCGTAGGTTCGTATGTTTTATACAGGTAAGTCATTCAGTCAGCAGTTTCTACAATATTTATTACAATGACGTTCACACTGTACAAGACAGAAGGGTCACTTGAGGTAGAGGGTTAGCGAATAAGAAGCAAAGTTCATGCGGATATGTGTGCAAGATAAAAGTTAACCCTAGACATGAACAGTTTTAGATTGCGGTGATCGGCGAAGCATCCTCATGGGAAGTGGTTCCACAGCTTCTCGAGTTGAAATTACACCCCACCAATGGAATACGAAGGAAATGATGGTGTCTCGCAAGAACGTGTGTAGCATGACGGGTCTTAGCCCTGAAGGTTAGAACTTGTGGAACTATGGAATGTGGTTGATCTGAACACTTTCTATAGAAATAGCGACAGAGTAACAAGAGACTTGCAACGTTTTGTCTGTGAGAAACGGATTGTAGGGTGGAAAATAATTTGTCACCCACAAGGCCGCGTAGAAGTTTTGACAGCTCCAGATATTCTGAGTGACGTTTTAGGCCAGCTATGCCATATATTTTCAAAAAGTTTTTATTCCTGCCCGTTATTATTATTATTATTTTCTTGTTTATATATATATATATATATATATATATATATATATATATATATATATATAATTAATTATTTAAAAATATGATTCAAATCGTTCCATCTTCAAGCGAAATTTTTTGGATTCCAAAAAAATTTCTTGAAGATGGAGAACAGAGCTTATTTTAACTCAATTTAATTTAAATAATTATATTGAAGTTTTCGCCTCTTGTTTTGAAACATGAGACTTCTTATGTCGCGATTTGGAATCATATTTTTAAATAAATAATTATATTTATGCTCTACTTTTGTATCGAGCACTATTTTAAAAAAATAATAACTAAAATACTAAGGGACTTTGGATTATTTACCTAACCAGTTCCTTCCTATTTTCTATATATTTTCACACACACACACACACACACACACACACATATATATATATATATATTATAAATTGATTTATTTAAAATGTTTTTTCGCTACACAGTTCTAACCATGTTTCAAAAACGGAAGCTAAAAGCTACGAATTTAATTTTGTAATTAAATTAAAGACATTAGTTCCATTTCATCCTCAAGCGAATTTTGGTGTAACTTTTAAAATATTAATGCTCTGTAAATTTACATTGAGCGTTATTTTTGTAAAAATAAAATATCTATAAGAACACCAGATTATATATCTTACTGTTATTTCTTTTTATTTACACACACACACACATATATATATATATATATATATATATATATATATATATATATATATATATGTATCAGGATGCGTGACCAATATATATATATATATATATATATATATATATATATCAGTTACGCATCTGATTTCAATTCTTAGGAATGAGATAACCCCGTATCACAGACGCTATTTTTTAAGCTCTGCTGATGTGACGTTATTTTATAGTACGCTACATTTTATCTCTTTGTAGTTTCTTCCTTTGTATATTCATGCATTTGATAGAAATTAAGGAGGAGATGAGATAATCATAATTAAGCAATCGTCACCGGGACCAATTTGTACAGTTGGTATGACAAATTTGAGCGGTGTTACGTTCAACAACGATGTGGAGCTTAAAACGTGATTTAATAGATTTTTTGTGTCAAACATCGTGATTTCTATCATCGATGCATTGAAGTGGATCGTTGACCGGAGGTATTAAACAATGAAAGGGAATACATTGTTGAATGATTCAACACAACTATTAATAGATAAAAAGTATTAAAATAAATCGTAAAAAACGAACGAATATTTTCAACAACCTTAATATATATCTGTATTTCGATACATTCTTTATATATATTTATACATAACTATGGAATTTATTCTATATTCTAAAGCATACGGCCATATCAGACTGAAACACCGGTTACCGTACGATTACCGAAGTTAAGCAAAGTCGAGCCTGATGTTTAACTAGATGGGTGACCGTGTAGGAATACTATCTGCTCTAAGCTTGGATGTGCGGGTGGTGTAATGGGTTAATGGCTCGGAATTATTAAATGGAGAACCCAGATCCAATTCCAGTTGGGTTTGTTATATTCACAGGAACAAATGCACATGGAAAATGTACAAATCTATCAGCTCCCCCCAGCTATGGGTTAATTAGTATCACTAAATTTTTTATTATCTTCAATCTAAAAATATTTTCTGGCTTTAAATAACTCGCAAACAGTTGATAAGCCGTGAAAAACGAATCAATCAATGTATATTCTAAAATTCACGGAAGTTAAGTGCCTCTCCAAAAGTCACATCTTTTTCTGATTGTTGAAGTTTGAATTGTCGTTTTTAAAAGTGCTACTCACACAATCATTAGGGATAAGCCAAAGCGCGCTGAAATTTTTTTTTAATATCAATCATATTACGGGGTTGTGAATACTGGATAATCTCCTCTCTTGAAAGAGAAACTTAAACAGACAAATATGTGAGTCTAGTTTGGTTTGGTTTGATTAACGGCATTTCAAAACCTCAATGGGTTATTTAATGCTGACAAGATTTTTATTAGTGGTATTTTTTTTTTCTTTAAATATATTACTGGTAATATTTTTTTTCAAAATATATATTGCTGGTAATGATATATTTCTGGCAATAATTTTTACAAAACTGTATTTCTGGTATTAAAACATATTTTTACACTATCATAGTGTTTTGATCTCAGATTGGGAGTTAACTATTTACCCAGAGCTGGGACCCTAATGGGTACTTCCATCATGGGTCAGGATAGACTAGGGAACACCAGCAATTAAGAGGTGGATCAACGCTTCTCAAGACATCCTGATCATAGGCCTTGCTGTCGGGTGTAGTTTATCATCTTACCCAGGAAACGGATGTAGATTACAGTCTTACCCAGGATGAATGTGTGATTCTTCTGATGAAAGCTGTCAATAGCATTTGCAGTACACCTGAGTACAAAACAAGTCTTAAAGAAAATAGGAACTAAAAGGAAACTTAGTATTCAAATCGTAAAAAGGGACTTGAATTTTGTGCGAACACATAATGAGGAAAGAAGGCTTAGAGAATATAACACGCAAATTATATACTGAAAGTAAAAGAAGTAGGCTGAAAAGCAAACAGCTAAGTTAACGAGCTTGGAGGAAGGAAGATGGAATAGGAAAAAATATTTGTGTTAAAGGTCCAAACAATTCCAATAGCGGAAAACAGGAATTGTTGGAGAGTCATGATCACCCACACCCCGAAGTGTCATGCCGTATAAAAGAAGAAAACTAGTACAAACATCAACAAACGACTGACAGCAAATTTGTCAAGAAATTTGAATTCATAAATGGGAATCAACATGAGTATAAATCAATGATATTTTTTTTATATATTAGTACTTGTATTCTTATAACACTTTGCGTTTTAGCGGCTTTATTGCCTTGCTTGCAAGCATTTGAAAATATAGAATTTAGTAAATATAGAGTTTACTTTGGTGTGTGGATCACAAATTACGCTCTGGATTTCGAATGGTGAAAATCAGATTATTGATTTGGACATTTCGACAGACTTCGACAGAGTTTGGCAGGCAGGTCTTTTTCACAAACTGAAAATTTATGGTGTTTCCCACCAAATTTTCCATGTGATCCGGTCTTTCTTCTCAAATCATAAAATGAGTTTTCTCCTTAATCCTTTTGCAATAATGCAGGTATCCCCCAGATCTCAATCGTTGATCCCACTTTAATTTTAGTTTCATCAACGACCATTCCTGATGCCATCATCTCTAAACTTGGTATCTATAATGCTGGCACAACCATTTACTCCTGCGTCGATACTAAATCTGACCGATCCGATAAATTGGCGGTTGATGTAAAAAACGAAATTCTGTTATTGGCTGTGTGAAAGCATAGCTTGTTAACCCTTGCCAAAACTATATTGCTCTCTATTAATCATCAGAGAGACCCCTTTCTACCTTCCATCAATATGACTGATGCTGACTTCCAGGAGATGCACCTTCTCGATCTAACGTTCTCGGCTGACTTGAAGTGGAAAAACTATATTGAATCCATTGCTAAATCAACTGCTACGAAATTTGGTTCACTGCTTCGTGCAAGACAATTTTTCTAACATGAACCTACCCTGCCTATTTACAAATATACCATTCCTCCATGCTTACAATATTCCTGTCACATATGGTTTGATGCTCTCGCTGTATATCTAGAGATCCTTAATAAAATCCAAAGAAGGATTTGCAATATTATTATGCTTGATCTGGCGTCTCGGTTTCAATCGCTTTCACACCGCTGTAAGGTTGCATCTCTATATTGAATCCATTGCTAAGTCAGCTGCTAAGAAAGTCGGTTCAGTCTTACCGATCCGATAAATTGGCGGTTGATGTAAAAAACGAAATTCTGTTTGTTGTTAGCTGGGTCAAAGGATAGCTTGTTAACACTCTCCAAAACTAAATTGCTCTTTATTAATCATCTGAGAGATCCCTTTCTACCTTCCCTCAGTATGACTGATGCTGGCCTCCTGGAGATTGACTTGATTCGTCTTCCCGTGCTAACGTTTTCGGCTGACACGAAGTGTAAAAACTATATTGAATCCATTGCTTAGTCAGCTGTTAAGAAATTTGGTTTAGTCTTACCGGTCCGATGAATTGTCTGTTGATGACCTCCAGGAGAGTGGCTTGATGCGCCTTCTCGGGTTAACGTTTTCGGCTGACAGGAAGTGGAAAAACTATATTGAATCCAATGCTAAGTCAGCTTCTAATAAAAATTGGTTCACTGTGTCGTGCAAGACAATTTTTCTAACCTGAACCTAACCAGCATATTTATAAATATAACATTCCTCCATGTTTAGAATATTCCTGTCACATATGGTTTGATGCTTTCGCTGTATATCTAGAGATCCTTAATAAAATCCGAAGAAGAATCTGCAATATTATTGGTCTTGATCTGGCATTTCGGTTTCAGTTGCTTTTCTACCGCCGTAAAGTTTCCTCTCTTTTTCTAAAAATATTTTCATGGCAACTGCTCGGATGAACTATCCGCCATGGTACCTAGATTTTATGAATTTAAGCGTCGTACTAAACAGGCGACGAGGCTTCATCAAAATACTATTGAGTCGACTAGATGTAACCGTAAGTTCTATACTAATACTTTTTCTCGTACATCTTTTTTGTGGAACTCCTTTCCAGTTCAATGCTTTCCAGATAATTTTGATCTTCAAAAATGTAAATGCAGTGACAATCGATTTCTGCTGTCCTCCTGATTACACTTCTTTTATTCTCGCTCCTTAGTAATGTAACCCCTTGCAGCTTTACTGCCTTGATTAGGGTGAACTCGATTAAAAAAAAAATAGGAGAAAAGGAAACTGGGACTAAAATAGACCGTACTAGAGACAGTTTCGCTCGACAATGCAAATTGCCTCAATGCCAAAAAATTGATTTAAATCGCAAGACACTTTCTTAAATAAAATCCTCAGATCAAGTGAAATCGTGGCATTCTAATAGGTAGCAGTATACTCTACGGTGGGGTCAGCTGCATCTTTTCACTTGAGGTACTTTAACAGAGGTCTGCAAGTTTGCACTCGTCAGTATCTTTAGTGACTCTAGTTGCCGTATATATATATATATATATATATATATATATATATATATATATATATATATATATATATATATATATAATATTAGTGGAAATATACATACATATGCAAAATATATAAATACCCATACATGTATATTTTTAGAATAAAACATTCCAAGAGGAAGAATCCAGGTAGAACTCAATGTCTAGGACAGAGTAAGGATATAATAAAAAGGCTTAAACACTAATATTCCATGGTCATAATTTATTCCATTGGAATCGTAAATACGATCCAATTCATCAGACCCATAAATTCAAAATCAAAAAGAATCTTTTTGAATTTGTAGGTCTGATGAATTGGATCGTATTTACGATTCCAATGGAATAAATTATGAACATGGAATATTAGTGTTTAAGTTTTTATTATATATATATATATATATATATATATATATATATATATATATATATATATATATATATTGCAAAACATTATCTTGCTTATTTTTATCATCATCCTTTCATATTCACGAATATTTTCTGTATATTATAATTGTAATATACGAAAAATACGAGTACTTTGCAAAGTGAAGTATCAAAAAATAAAATACATTTTCTTTAATTAACATTATTTTGAGAAGATATATCATTTTTTCCGCATGTCTTTTTTAATTGAGAATTACTAATTTAGGTAACGAATTCTTTTTTAAATATCTTCCTCGAAATTATTATTCATGTTCTGTTAGTGTAACATTACAAGGCAACAACATTGCAATGTTCTTCTTCTATGTGTTGTGTCCCTTTAGGAAAGTGGCGATGGTGGCTCTCCACAATTTCCTCTCTTTTGTCGTTCTTAATAAATTTTGTCTTTTTGTTATTTCTCTTAACCCTGTTCTGCCATCCATTTACTCAAGCACATTCTTCTTCTTTTATGATTCGTCTTACTACAGGAGGCGATCATGGCTCTCCACAATTTCCTGTCCTTTGTATATCTTCATAAGTTTTGTCTTTTTGTTATTTTTCCTAAAACTTGTTCCAATATCCATTTATTCAATCTCATTCTTCTATTTGCTGTGTCAATTCAGGATGTTGGCAATCATGGCTCTCCACAATTTCCTGCCCATCGTAGCTCTTAGTAAATCATGTCTTTGTGTTATCTCTCCTCAACACTGTTCTGCCATCCATTTAGAAAAGTTTACTAGATGGGTGATGCTGTATTTTCCACTGTTCCGCTTGCCTTCAATATGTCTTGTGTGTGTCAAATTTTCCAAATCTTCTTTCCTATTATTTGCCCTAAAACTTCCATCTGTCTTTATCTGATATTTTTGTTTTCATTTTCCTTAAAACTTTGTTGTTGCTCCCATGTTCAGTCCCTGTTATTCTCAGCATCCTTCTGTAGGACAGCATTTCTATCGGCTCAAGTTTCTTCTTCATCTGTGAAAAGATGGCCCAGCATTCACTGCTGTATAGGGGGACTGATATTGCATCAGTGTTCAGTACTCTTGTCTTTGTTTCTAACGAAATTTTCCTCTTTGTTAATTCTCTGCTTAGTTTTTGTAAGGCATCTTTCCCTATCCCAATGCGCCTTCGGATTTCGGTGTCACACTTCCCAACCTCTGTTAAATCACTTCCCAGATATTTAAATTGTTGTATTTGCTTGATTTTGGTATCCCCAATTTTTAATTTGGTGTTTTGGTGTGTTGGGATGTATTTTATGCTGACAACCATGCATTTTGTCTTTTTACAATTGATGTCTAATCCTTTCTTCTCGATTTTCTTCATTAACTTCTGTAAAAATACATGTAGTTTTCTTTTTGTGTTTATTATCAACACTATGTCATCAGCATATCTTATATTTGTATTACTGTACCCGTCAATAATGGGTCCCGATAAGACTTCCATCCCTCTTATATATATTCTGAATATGAATGTTATATATATACTGAAACTGTATAACCCAGGGTACTTGGATAAGTATATTACATTTTGATCAAAGGAAGTCTCCGAATGGCAACCACCCCACTGACTGAATTTTTCCTTTGATTTAAATTAAATTTAAATGTGAACAAGGTAATGACTCCTATCCAAAATATGGAAGAAGAAACCCAGAAGATGGAGGTCACATTGGCAAGATCAAAATGAGACAATATAGACGTCAAATTCAGCAAGAAATAACCAATCAGTGGGTAGTGATTGCATCCAATATATATATCAAAGTGTCAGCTCAAGCTGTTTTTGCACACACTCCTCCACACTGTTTTTCCCCTTTGATTTAAATTAAATTTAAATTTGAACAAGGGGATGACTCCTATTCAAAATATGAAAGGAGAAAGCCAGAAGATGGAGGTCACATCGACAAGATCATTGAGTAATATTGAAATACATCATTTTTCTCCACAGTAATAACAACGATTTAAAATCAATCATCATTTTCTTAGAAAAAATGTGTGACAGGCTGCAAGACGCGGGTAGCTCGGCCATATTTAAATAAAATTCAATTCCCCTTACTAGGATTTCCAACAGTTCTTTGTAACGCAAATTTATTAAACGCTTTTGCATAATCTATAAAAAAGCTATACCTACTTTTGCCTATTTATTACACTTTCTCAAATTGACATAACATTTTTGTAACGCTACATATAGTTTGTAACATATGTAACGTAACATCCAATATCAGGATTTCAACGTTACTTAACGTTAAAATCTGTATGAAACGTCATTTTGATAGTTGGGAATATAGACATATAGTTCGAATTTCAGACAAATTCGTTTACGCGCAAATACTCTTGGAAAAGATAAGAATCCATCTTTTCTCCCCACTATGGGTTAAATATTAGGACAGGCTAAGCTCTTTGGCTTTGATTTGCAAACAGTTTAATAAAATGAAAACTTTGAATTCAAAATCAAATCGTTGATTATTCTATTGACTGACTAATTTGTATTTTTAAGGTTTATCAAACTTTTAAATGTTATTTAAAGCTACAAAATTCTTTTAGATTGTAAAATTTTTTAAAGATAACAAGTAAAGAAATGCTACTAATTAACCTATAGTTGGGTGAGAAGAGGTTGATTCCTACGTTTTCCAATGGTATGTGTCGCTTAAGTGAACATAACTTTAAAAATGTATGAAGTATATCAACGTCCTTTTGACAACTGGGCATATATACATATAGTTCTAATTTCAGTCAAGTCCCTTAAATTGCTTTACGCGCACGCTTATGAAAGGCATAAATCTATATTTTCTTTCCCCACTATAGGTTAAATATTATGAAAGACTAGACCTTTTTGCTGTGGTTAGCAACCACTGTAGGATAATAACAATTCTAAATTGAAAATCAAAGTCCTGATTGTTCTATTGATGGCTTGATTTATTATTTTACGGCTTATCAAACTTTTGAAGGTTATTTAAAGTTAAAAATTATTTTTAAATTGTAAGAATATTTTGGAGATAATAAGTATTTTACTGATAGAAGTCTTACTAATTAACCCATGGCTGGGGGAGAAGAGGTATTTGTGCGTTATACGGTATATAAGGAAGGGTATTTGTGCATAAGGAAACCAACTGGAATTACTACTCGGCTCTTCGATTTTCGAAGTCACGCATCTAGGTACTGACCAAGCTCGACGTTGCCTAACTTTGCTGATCGTAAGAGAACCGGTGGTTCAATTTGATATGGCCGCAAGCTATGGTGACTTTTGCACAAGTGTTTACCACTTTAATCAAATCATATATGCGATTATACTACATACTGAATTGCTGGACGCATATACATTGAAAACGACCTGAGAATCCATAATCATTATATATATATATATATATATATATATATATATATATATATATATATATATATATATATATATATATATAATAAAAACACTGCCAATGTTTTGGTATAAAAATAAATGGCAAATTAAAACAAGAATAATTTGTCTTTGATCAGAAATTCAAGCAGGTTACCCTGCTTAATAACAAGGCTGTCGAGTCTCTAGTAGACACTAAGTAAAACTTTCAGAAAGGGTTCCTGTAAATGTTACTACTCTTTGATTTTTACGCATAAGAAAGTTGTTTTTACACTTTGAACGTGGGAATTACTTAAGAAAAACAAAATTGAAACATATCGTTCCGCATCAGATCGGTGTACGAATCTTTGTGTTAAAAATGTCCACCGTTAATCACCCAGGGAAGATAATTAAGATATACTGAATGTAAATGCAATAAATATATTTATAGAAAGGGAAAAAATACTCCGATGCAGAAAACGGATGTTAGTTAAATCAGAAACAGAAGTCAAAAAACAATGGAAGAATTTTCTGATGGAATAAACAGAATGCTTCAAGCAGTTTTTTTTCTTCAATCACCAAGAAAATTATCGGGTTAACACCGGCCTGCATGCTCTTTCCCATTTCTCTACGACAAAATCGGAGCCAAGTGGTTAGAAATAATGGCGCCATTTGCATAGTGTCTGCAGTTTTTAAAGAGAGGCGGGTAGGCGTGTCGATGCGCATGCGTGGAAGAGCTTGTTTACGATCAGCTGAGGCAAAAGCGGGAAAATAACTGATAGTTATTTTAGCTATTATCTGAGGATATATACCTTACGACCCGAGCAGTAATTCCCACTCAATCATCAAAATGTCTGGGCAGTTTATTATGGGTGACTATTTGAAGTTTCTAATAGAAAACGAACAGAAAAATATTCGAAGGTCTATAACGAATAGATAAAATAATAAACATATATCTGTGTGAATTCAGTTTGAATTTAATAAAAATTCAATGAGTAATATGACACATTTGTTTGACGTTGAACAATAAATATGTCTGTTCGTATCTGTCTTATTATATTCATATCTATCTATCTATCTATCTATCTATCTATCTATCTATCTATCTATGTCCGATCATATGTATCTATTTCTGATCATATCTATCTCCGATCATATCTACATATCTATATATGTATCTGTCTATGGGTGATCATATCTATCTATCTATCTATCTATCTATCTATCTATCTATCTATCTATCTATCTATCTATCTATCAATAACAAACGAACAAAGGAGATTTCGACCTATCTATCTATCTATCTATCTATCTATCTATCTAGCTAGCTAGCTAGCTAGCTAGCTAGCTATCTCAGTCTGTTCATATCTGTCTATCTATCTATCTATCTATCTATCTATCTATCTATCTATCTATAAATAACAAACGAACAAAAGAGATTTCGACCTATCTATCTCAGTCTGTTCATATCTATCTATCTATCTATCTATCTATCTATCTATCTATCTATCTATCTATCTATCTATCTCAGCGTCTTCATATCTATCTATCTATCTATCTATCTATCTATCTATCTATCTATCTATCTATCTATCTCAGTGTCTTCATATCTATCAATCATCTATATCTTAGTGTCCTCATATCTATCTATCTATCTATATCTGATCATTTATATCTATCCATGAATCTATCTATGGTTGATCATATGTATCTGTTTGGGAGGAAAGATTTCAGTTTTTGTAGAATACTAAGTAATTTATATACAGTGAGTACGTTCCTCCAACCACACACACACACACACACACACACACACACACACACACACACACACACACACATACACACACATATATATATATATATATATATATATATGCATGCACACAAATATATATGACATTTGAAAGACAAACGAACACGGTGTTCAATATCATAGATAGACCAACAGTGGTGCCAAATATAGAACCCAATTAAAATCACTTAAAAGCTGTGCAGTTTCCTCCAGGTTAATACTGTTTATTTTAAACAGAGCATTTATTAGGTTGGTGCAAAATAATGACGTAATAATGTCGTTTTTGACGTTAAAATACATCAAAAACGACATTATTACGGCATTATTTTGCACCAACCTAATACTTAAATATTTGTATCTATCTAAAAGAATATATAAACATAAAAATATCTTAGCATAATTGTCGGACTATGTCCATTTCATAATGTGTGACGTCAATTGTTTACATTTGGATACGCATCGAGCAGATATGAATGTACTTGAGGAAATCATGGAAAATTGTAGTTTAAAAACAGTAAAATCGACCTTGCTAATCGAAACGCCCCTCTGTGGCGAAATCGGTAAAAGCACGTCATGATATATGACGGTTCCGTATAGGATACAGGTTCGATTCCTGTCGGAGGACGCATATTTTCTATGGCATTTTCTCGGACATTCAGACTGGTAAATGTTAATACTGTTCATTATAAACAGAGCATTTACTTAAATATTTGTATCTATAAAAAAGAATGTATGAAAATGTCTTAAAATAATTGTCGGAATTTGTCCATTTCATATATATATATATATAATCGTTATCACCCCATGCTAGGCAGTAAAGCCACTAAGACAAATGTGGTTACAGAGTGCGGAGAAATTAGGAACACAAACATTAATAATGAGCGGGAAGTTTTTTGCAGATTAAAGTTGGCTTGAAAGCTTGGAGACGGAAGGGGGTTCCACAAGTGAGATGTGCGAGAAAAGAAACCCTTAGCATCAACTGCGAACTCAACTGTAAATTGCAGGCATCTCGATGCCAGTCTAGTACTGCGGTTGAATTAAAAAAAATATCTAGTTACCATGGAGGAAAGCTCATCCGAACAATTACCATGAAGGTATTTATAGAAAAGACACAGAGAGGTAATTTTACGGCGATGAGAATGCGACAGCAGCCGAGCCGTTAGATCAGGACCAATAATATTGCTGATTTTTCTTTGGATTTTTCATCAAGGAGCTCAGTGTAAATAGCAGGGGTACCGTACGATATCTGGAGGCAATATTCTAAGCATGGGCGAATGGTAGTTTTGTAAGATAGATTCTGGAGAGAAAAATCTTCTTGCATGACACACTGAAGTAATTTTCTTAACAGCTGACCCCACAGCGCATGCAAATAATCCTTCCACTTCATATCAACTGAGAATGTTAGCCGGAGAAGGCGAAAAGAATCACTTTCCTCATCCATGCTGATGGAAGGCAGCAAAGGGTCTCTTAGATGACTAATCGAGAGAATTTAGTTTTGAGGGCGTTAAAATTAACAATCCAACTTTTTCCCCAGGTAACACCGACCTTGAGGTCATTTTAGACATCGTCTGCCATATTGACGTTGTCGGAATAAGCTTTACTATCGAGGCGGAAGTGTACATTTTTTTCCTCTTAGTCTTTCCTGGGGACATAAAAGCTCCCATTGTCGTATTACACTTCCCGATCGCTTGACGGGCGCTTAAAGGAATTAAACTTATTGTTGTGGTCATTCGCTCTACACATGAAAGGGGATTCTTTATTTATAAAATCTCGACCATCTTGTTTGGTGTTGAGCCCTTTTCTTTCAGGCGTGCACACACGGCAGACTATTTTTAAAAGTGGATCCTATATACACGTATATATATATATATATATATATACATATATATATATATATATATATATATATATATATATATGTGTGTGTGTGTGTGTGTGTGTGTGTGTGTGTGTGCGCGCAGGTATGTAGAAATATAGGAAATAACACGTTAGGTAAATAATCAGGGTTCTTAGTATTATTTTATTTTTAAAAATCAGTGCTCCGTACAAAAGTAGAGCTTAGATTATAATTATTTTTTAAAAAGTATGATTCCTTCGCTACATAAGAGTTCTCATGTTTCAAAAAGCAAGAGCCGAAACCATAAATATAATTATTAAAATTAAATTGAATTAAAGTAACAAGCCCTGTTTCATTCTCAAGCGAAATAGTTTTAAGTTACGTATATTTATTGGCTAAAGTGCTCAATATCAGTGTATGTAAGTATAAAAGTGAACGAAATCGAAAACCCATATAGATGTCCTGGAGATTGCGTTTAAGCAAACAGACTGTCGCCGCTGGGTGTTAACTTCAATGTCCACTTTTATACTCATATATATATATATATATATATATATATATATATATAAAGGCTGATCATTCGTATCCGAGGACGCACGTCTACTAGGCCAATCCCTGTTATAGACGCATTCTCAGGCACATTTTGTGTTTGTTCAACACCCACATATATCTGCAACTATATTGAACGGAGCATAGTTACATTTTCTGGGAGTGCATTATCTATCGTGATCAGCATCCTGAACAGAGCCAGCATGCACAAACCCCCGGACACGATGACGTGACTTCGTGATAACACACCTCCTTCCGTCTTTCCGTCTGCACAATTTAACACAAGGTTTAGTTCAACATGTGGTATGTTTTTCGAGCAATTTTTAAAGGTGCCGCACGCTGTGATCGCCTCCCCCAGAGCGATGACATCAAGAAGTCACCTTACTGACAAATCGACCATGGTCAGATTCTAACACTTTCTCATGTGCCAAATGACTTATGGACTGATTTGGATCTTTTCTAATTTATCTCTCTATATCTATGTTGAAATGATGATTCTTATTCCTGTTGTGACTTCCTGATCCATTTTTCTTTTCTACTCTTCCCTCTTTTAAAAACTTATTCACCATTCTCTTGATGGTTTTTGAATGAACTTTGAACATGAAAGACAGAGTATGAATATCGGTACCATTACTGAGGGCCTGGATGATCTTTTTCCTCTCAAAATTGCTCAGCTGAGAAGACATGGTGGAACTGACACAAAACAATTTTAACCTGTTCTCTTTCTGAGCTGTGTGTTTTTCAGTGATTCTTACGACAAATGGTGTCTAGATGGCTAAACAACTTCACTGAAAATCTGGAAAAAAGAGATTCAATTAGTTTAGTGCTTGTTTTTGTTATTTTTAAATACTACACTTTTTGAGGGATGAACAATTATGCTGTTACACGATTCGGATTTTTGCTGTTACACCCGGTAATGTGTATGCACGTATATATATATATATATATATATATATATATATATATATATATATATATATATATATATATATATATAATGATTTAATGAAAGACAGACCACTTTAAGGTACCATTACAATAATTTATTTCACCAAAATCCTTTTTAAAGTATTTCTGATCATCAGGTAACACTTCCAACAATGAAATGAGAGGAAAAATTAGAAATTGATGGGTAGTGTAATTTTTGTAATTAAACAGGGAGGGTGAAGGTGGCTGTTAAAGAGACAATACAAAGTATAGGGAGGGTTAAATTTACATCTCTCTTAAATAATCTTTATATTGGGGTAGGAGGAGTGACCTAACCTTGACCTATTTAGATGGTTAAAGAATCCTTGGATTTACCAATTCGGTTTCCCAAGTTCTTCATAACTTATATATATATATATATATATATATATATATATATATATATATATATATATATATATGTAGAAAATATCTGGAAAAACAAAACAAAAATCCTTAAAATGCGATTATGTTGCTTTTTTAATATGAATGAAATGTCGACGTCTGACGTTTCGGTTTAATAACCTTCTTCAGGACAATATTCATTAAAAATACAATTAACATAATCAGTATAACACGACGAAAACGATGGACATAAAAACAAGTCTTATCCAAAACAGATAAATGAAAATTTTAAATGATCAGCTTTCCGTTTGAGCGTGGTCACGTTGTCGTCAAATGGGCGACGCTTTCAAAACGTATTCTTAAAAATTTTATAAATTTGATTCCGATGGAAAGATATTTCATATATACAATTCGTTAGAAAATCTTTTCTGTTCTTGTAGGAATACGCGGAGGCTAGTAGATTCCTGTATCTTCGGATAAGCATGCAGTCCTCCATGTAATAAAATGAATTCAGGTTTGTATTTCCAGTGGACAGTATGATAAGCAAATATAAATGGATATAAATCCGACAGAATTTATTTATTCTATTTATTCTTCTTAGTCTGTTCATATCTATCTATCTATCTATCTATATATATATATATATATATATATATATATATATATATATATATTGAAACCTTTTCGTCACTAGTGTGCACTAGATCAAATATAGGCAGGTTGCGTTGCCGAAAAGCAACCAGAAACAGGCTGTCACCCTTTGTTGCTTACTGCTTTCTGACAGTCTGTGGGGTTATCTACTTGCTCCACTTCTCAATGCGGTGTCTGTGGCAGGCCACTGTGTGGTTCATCACAAAAGGACAGATCTCCCGATCTGAAATTTTGGAACCAATGCCTGTCGGTTCTTTTGTTCACTGCTTTATCCCAAAAGGCTGGACATATTCGGCGGATTGATGGAGCTACGGACAGGCCCACCTTAAAGTCATCAAGCAGAGAAACACGAAGGAGCTGCTTCGACACCACCATATTTCCTTATCGCTGTTCAAATTATGACTAACGCCTCTATTTAACGCATCTGCATTGGTCAAGAGAAATGCACCCATCTCTTTGTCTTTGTTTCTCTTCAATTTTGCTCCTTCCTATCTATCTATCTATCTATCTATCTATCTATCTATCTATCTATCTATCTCTCTCTATATATATATATATATCAGTCTCTTTATATTTATCCCAGTCTATTCAAACCTATCTATCTATCTATCTATCTATCTATCTATCTATCTATCTATCTATCTATCTATATCAGTCTCTTTATATTTATTTCAGTCTATTCAAATCTATCTATCAAATTCTTGTCATATCAACTACCAATCTAACTCGCTAGTTAGCTATATCGTTCTGCTCATTTTTATCTATCTATCTATCTATCTATCTATCTATCTATCTATCTATCTATCTATCTATCTATATATATATATATATATATATATATGTATATAGCTAACTAGCTAATTAACTATCCAATTCTGATCATTTATATCTATCTATATGGCTATCTGTCTATCAGTCTTTGCATAATTCCCCTTTCTCTCTCACTCTCTGTCAATTTTCTAATATCTATGTATCTCATTCTGGTAATTTATTTATTTCTGTCTATCTCAGTCTGTTCATATCTATCTATCTATCTATCTATCTATCTATCTATCTATCTATCTATCTCAGTCAGTTTATATCTATCTACCTATTTATCTAAGTATCTATCTTGTCTCTCATTTGTTCATATTTTTCTGTCTTTTCCTTCTTTCATTTGTTAATATCTATCTATCTATCTATCTATCTATCTATATCAGTCTGTTTATATCTATCTATCTATCTATCTATCTATCTATCTCAGTCTGTTTATATATATCTATCTATCTATATCAGTATGTTTATATCTATCTATCTATCTATCTATCTATCTATCTATCTATCTATCTATCTATCTATCTATCTAATTCTTGTCATATCAACTACCAATCTAACTAGATAGTTAGATATCTCGTTCTGCTCATTTATATATATCTATCTATCTATTTATCTATCTATCTATCTATCTATCTATCTACCTATCTATCTATCTACCTATCTATCTACCTATCTATCTATCTATCTATCTATATGTGCTGATCTCCTTTTTTCTCCCTCTATCTTAGTTTGCTTTCTTTCTGCCTATCTTATTCTACTCATTTCTATTTATTCTTCTTAGTCTGTTCATATCTATCTATCTATCTATCTATCTATCTATCTATCTATCTATCTCTATCTATCTATCTATCTATCTATCTATCTATCTATGATATTCTTTTTTAGAGAATGGTATAGTTGATTAGAGCACGGATCTCTTGAAAATGGCGCTACTGTCAGAGAATCACAGCTCGAACCAACCTAACAACTCAATATTCAGATGCCCATTTTCAAGGCGCGCCGTGTAGCGCAACTAATTTTCCAAACCTCTCACTCAACATTTGATCTTGAGCCGTACTATGGTAAGCTTAATAAATATCAAAAATGGCACTTTTGAAATGGAGAAAGAAGACAAGAACTCGCTCCAAAATGGCAGCGAATGAGCGAACGAACAAGAGGTTGAATGTGTGAAGGAAAGAAGTACAAGTCAAGATTTAGGAGACGCGGGTGGGTGAATTGTGTGAGTGAATTGCGAAGAAGGAGAAGACGTTGGCGAAGAAAGAGGCGGTGCCCTCTTGGCTGACAGTTCGATGTCTGTAATTAAGGATAAGGGTTGATGGCGATAAAATAGGACTTGGTCTATTTAATGTGCCCCCAGAAAGTAAAACTGGAGGCGCCGGTGATATTCAGGAGTTCAAGATGGACTTTTTGGACAAGCGAGGATGAGCGGCTGGAGGGGGGGAGGGAAGGCTAAAAGAAAGCAAGAGAAGATGAGATGGTGTTTGGTTGAGGGCGGGATTATGGGATGGCGCGAGGGTTTAGCGAACAAATAGTAAATAAAAGCGTAAAGAGTTGAATTTAGATGTCGTGAGAGAGAGAGAGAGCGGGAAGGAGGGAGAGAAGGGGAGATGAAGAGAGATGAGGGGGAGGTGAGAGAGGATTGGAGAGGCTGAGTGAGAAAGAGGTGAAAGGGAGAGAGAGGAGGCAGTGAGAAAGAGGTGAGACGGAGAGAGAGGAGGCAGTGATGTGAGAGGGAAAGAGAAGAGAGAAGGAGAGAGGGGGAGAGAGAGTGAGAAGGAGAGCGAGATAGAGAGAGGTTGAGTCGAGTATTGATTGGCGGTAGAATGAGAGATAGAATGTCAGAGAACAACATAAAGAACGATGGCGGGAAAGACATTGATTGCGAATTGGCTGCGAAATCTAAGAAAAAAAATGGCCGACATTTGTAAAAATTAGATGTCGTGCTTTATTGACCGCAAGCTACTCTCGAAGGCTATAACTACAAGACTGAATTCAATCTCAAAAGTTGCTCGACATAAGTAACCCTGTACCAGACAAGCTTTTCCGTTGAGTTATGTTTGTGTCTGTTTTATATACCTCCATTTATCCGCGATACGTAAGGTTTGAAATTTTAAAAAATGAAAGATCTTTCTTGAAGCTTTTATTTTACTTTTAATTTCAGGGTAATTGATTAAATTTAATATTTTCAATAAGCAGATTTCTTCTCTACACTTCACTCTTTTTAAAACTTATTCACCATTCTCTTGATGGTTTTTGAATGGACATTGAACATAGAAGACAGATTATGAATGTTGGTACCAATACGGAGGGCCTGAATGATCTTTAAACTCTCAACATTGCTCAGTTGAGAAGACATCGTGGAACTGACACAAAACAATTTTAACTTGTTCACTTTCTGAGCTGAGTGTTTTTCAGTGATTCATACGACAAATGGTGTCAAGATGGCTAAACAACTTCTCTCAAAATCTGGAAAAAAGAAACTCAATTAGTTTAGTGTTTTTTAGATATTAAACATTTTGTGGGATGGGCAATTATGCTGTTAGAAGATTTGGATTTTTGCTGTTACACCCGGTTATATATATATATATATATATATATATATATATATATATATATATATATATATATATATTTACCGTTACTCCTCAAAATTATCCTGATCAGCATCCAAAGGCTTTTATCAACGTGCCTTCAGCTCTGCAATGCCCTGGTGGTAAATATCAGAAAAAATGGCCGACATTTGTAAAAATTAGTGCTTTATTGACCGCAAGCTAGTCTCGAAGGCTATTACTACAAAACTGAATTCAATCCCAAAGGTTGCTCTACATAAGTAACCCTGTACCAGACAATATTTTCCATTTGAGTTATCTTTGTGTCTGTATTATGTACCTCCATGGATCCGCGATACGTAAGGTTTAAAATTATTTTTTAAAAATGAAAGATTTTGCTTGAAGTTTTTATTTTAGTTTTAATTTCAAGCTAATAGATTAAATTCAATATTTCCAATAAGCAAAATACTTTCAAATATAATTTAAATTGATTGGAAGGAGCTATTTTTTATAATCGTTAAAAATCACTAATTTAAGCACCATTTTTAGCCAGGTGTCAGTATTGAAATTGGACTTATTAAAACATGTTTTTCAAGAATAAAATATGATTTTCTAAAACTTAATTTGAGGAGTATTAGCAAATTTAAAGTTTAAGTAACCTAATTTGAAACAAATATTAATGTTTAAAATATCACAGAAATACGTTTTTTACACAGTGGTAAGTGTCTATTTAAAGTGTTGACAGTTTCACTGACAGATGGAGATTTGTTTCATTTTTACTTACGGGGGATATATCTGTAAAAACTACTTGAGGAATATATCGCCTTTATATATATATATATATATATATATATATATATATATATATATATATATATATATATATATATATATTTAACTACCCTGTAATCTGAAATATTCTCCGTAATGTAATGTTTTATAAAATTTTAAATATTTTGGATTTAAATTTACAATAGTTTTCGTAGTTATTTTTTGATAATGTCATGTATAGACGTCCGTATTTACAAAAATCAGTATGTATATACACACTGAAAAAATTACAAATTCTTTTAAAAATATTATGATCCCTGAATTGTTTTAAGCTTTCTATTTATAATTAGTAAATATAGTTTTTACTTAATAACAATGTCAACTCACCGGTAAAAATTAACATAAATTTAAAAGATTTGAAACTTTTGAAATGAAAACAGTTCTTGTAAAAATTCATTATTCATCATTCTTTTTTTAACACAATACTAGCCACATTATATTTTATTAATAAAACAATTAAAAGCTTTCCTAATTAAATAAAATCTTTTTTTTTTTTTGCCTTTTTTTTATTTTACGATTCTAAGCTCTACAAATTTAATTTCTGGAAATTTCATAAAAATTAAATATGCCGGAAGCTAACAGATGTAAAGATAAAATTCCTAAAAGAATACATTTCTAAAATAATTTTATTCATTTGTGAAGAAGTGCTTAAAGATTTATTAAAATCTGACAATTATTTGATTTTTGCAAGAATTTCAAAATTAATGTATTTTTAATTGCAAAAAAAAGCGAAAATTTTCTATATTGATTTTTGCTCCTCCAACGCCGTTAACGCAAAAAAACAGGATTTTTAACCACACTTTAGAACGTTCTAAAAAGATTTAATTTAATAATTAAAATAATCTTGCTCTTTCCGCTTAATGATAACATAAACATTTATAGTTTGTTTTTATTAAGTTTAGGGTATTTTTTTCATCATGGTATATTATTTTTTAGCGAATTTTGGGTAGTACCTAGGCTATATTTATTATTGTCAGATCACTCTACGACTGCTATTGATTCGATGTAACCCACTTTTACCTGCCACATGATCAGGTCAACTCCGACTAAGCGTTTTTCTGATGATGACGGTAGCTAGACATACAACAGAATTAAAAACAATAGGGTAGACTGGGTTCTGTAACTATGCATGTAACTAGTGTACCGTGTGTAACAGCAACATTTTCTAAATCCTGTAACAGCATGCGATAATTGTCCATCCCACAAAATATTTAATGTCTAAGAAAAAACAAAAAAAAAACACTAAAATTTATTTTATCCAGCCTTTTTCAGATAAGACGTTTAGCCATTTTCATTCCATTTGCCGTAAGAACCCCTGAAAAACACTTTCAGTCATTCAGCTAGATAAAGAACAGGTTAAAATCGTTTTCTCTCAGACCATGTCTTCCCAAATGAGCAATGGTGAGAGGAAAAAGATCATTCAATCCTTCAGTAATGGTACCAACATTTCTAACCTACCTTCCATCTTCAAAGTCCATCAAGAGAACGGTGAATAAGTTTAAAAATGGGGGAACAGTAGAGATAAAAACATGCCATAACAGTAAGAGGGACCATCATTTCAACTTAGTGTTAAATACATTCTTATTGTTCAAAGTAGAATTCAATAGTGTTATAAAACCTTAGAGAATTCCAGTAAGATATCTTTACTCATTTCTAAGATACAACAGTTCAAAGCTTAATCCAACAATTGGACAATTTTGCTGTTACACTGTCTATACTTGAGTATAATGCGCGCTTTTATGATCAGTTTTTATGCAAAAATAGTGGGTGCACTATAGGCATTTCTTTTTTTAGTAGACGTTAAAAATCATGTATTTTTGGTGACTTAATTCACTATATATGTGTAATTTCTTCTGGAGGGATTAAAATATATGCATTTTAGGTGACGTGTTAGGCCTAAATACTCACAGTACCTCTTGGCAAACCATAACCGTACAGATTATCTCCTTTAGTCCGCCTCCCGTCGTCTAGATTAATTCTCTCTCTTGCTACATGAACAACAGAACGCCATTCACTATGTGTGCCGCTTAAAAAGTACCTTATGTAAATGAAGAATTCATAAGCTTTTTCATTTCTCCATTTTGTTTTAGTTGTGTTGCTTATTCCGTTTTCGTCTGTTTATTTTTAAAATATATGCATTTTCGGTGACCTGGTAGGCCAACATTCTCACGGTATATTTGGCAAATCATAACCATATGTATCGCTTAAAAAGTACCTTGGGTAAGTAAAGAATTAATAATATTTTTCATTTCTCCAATTAGCGATCATTTTCGTTCGCTCGTGTTTATATCGCCGAGGCATTGCTTTTCCAACATCACATCTTCTTCTGATGCGTATCTTTACCATTTTTAGTTGTGTCTTTTGTTTATTTACATTTGTTTTTATCTACTACATGTTTATATAGTTGGGATATGGAACTGGATGAGTTGAGCACCAATGAAGAGCCATTAAGAGGCTGAAGTATGGCAATGCAGCAGTAGTTGATGGAATCCCGTCTGAAATCTCGAAGCATGGAAGTCCA